GAATAGGCGAGACAGGACGCGACGTAGGCTCACGACGCTCAGCAAGACCCCCAGTCTGCTCAGTGTAAGGAGAAGGAGCAGGCAGCGGTGAGCCAGGCAGTAACGGAAGACCAGTAGAAGACGGGAGGCTAAGAACCTGGCGAAGCACAGAGTCAGGCGGTGGCTGGGGCGACGGAGACGGCGGAGCAAAGAACAGTTGTGTCGATGCAGTGCCACCAGCACCAGCAGCTCCAGCACCTCCAGCAGCTCCAGCACCCCCAGCGCCAGTACCTCCAGGATCAGCGCCACCAGCAGCAGCACCCCCAGAACCGGCACCTGCAGTCCCAGGGTCTCCAACCGCAGTGTCTCCAGCAGCAGCACCCCCAGAACCAGCACCTCCAGTCCCAGGGTCTCCAGCCTCAGTGTCTCCAGCAGCAGCACCCCCAGACGCAGCACCTCCAGCCCCAGCAGCTCCATTACCTCAAGTACGAGCACCTCCGGGACCAGCGACTCCAGCACCTCCAGTAGACAAAGTACCAGCACCACTCCTAGCTCCAGTGACGTCAGCAGAAGTACCTCCAGCGGCAGAGCCCCGAGCTCCAGCAGCGCGACCCTGACGGCGACCGTACAAGTTGTGCAGCTGCTGTGAGGTGAGAGGCGTACGCGGACGAAGGCGGCCACTCCAAGGAGACCGCGCACCAACAGTCGTAGTACCCTCAGGCGCTGCACCCTCTGACTCAGCACCCCCAGTCTCCCCACGCTCAGGCTCAGCACCCCCAGACGCAGTACCCCCAGGCGCAGTACCTCCAGGCTCGTCACGCGCAGGCTCAGTACCTCCAAACTCAGCATCCTCAGGCCCCTCACACGCAGGCTCAGCACCCTTTGACTCGGCACCCCCAGGCTCAGCACCTCCAGGCTCCTCACGCTCAGGCACAGCACCCCCAGACTCCGCACCTCCAGGCTCAGCACCTCCAGGCTCCTCTCGCTCAGGCTCCGTACCCCCAGGCTCAGCAAACCCAGGGACAGCACCCCGAGAAGGACCACCCCCAGCCAGGGTTCTCGTTATCAGACCAATTTGGTCTGATGGTCTGAGAATCAGACTTAATTTTTCTAGTTCATCTGACTTTGAAGACAAGCAATTTTAGTTCGTCTGATCCATAAGACCAGACATTTTATTTCGTCTGGAAAATCATATTCGGTGTTATACTTCATCTGAGAAATCAGATAGTGCGTACATTTTCGTCTGGCACCAAGTACCGAGTGCATCCCTCTTCCCCCTACCCCCCCCCCCCCCCCCCCCCCCCCCCTTCAGCCCCCCAAGACCCAAATTCTCTCGCTCTTCCCCACTACCCACCCAGCCGCCCAACAAAGCCAGCCGACCTCGAATTCCCCCCCGCCCCCCCCCCCAATCTCCTAAGTCTACAGCACTCTTGCCCCTTCCCTCGTGTCCGTCTCGAACGTAACCCAAACCCCCCCCACTCCCTTGTCTCTCGCAGGCCAACACCTGCCCCTCTGCCCCATTCCCGCTCTCGCGCACCATAGCGCAAACCTGTTTAGGTTGTGTCGCTCTGTCTGATACAAGTAAAACAGTACACAATCCATTTATTTAAGAAAAAAACAGGCAGCAGTATTATTTCATCTGAAATTTCAGACATGGCTTTTTCCTTCGTCTTAAAAATCAGACCAGAAAAAAATCCCCGTCTGAACGTCAGACGAAACATTTTTTTGGTATATACTTTTCAGACGGGCTTAAAACCTAGCAAGAGCCCTGCCCCAGCAGGACCTGAGTCACCAGTGACCTCAACAGGCGCAGGCACAGGAGGGTCTATCTTAGAAACACCTGAAGGAGCAGGACCTGGCGCGGGGAGGGGGTCTACCTGGGAAGGACCTGGAGCGAGAAAGAGCGGCGGGGGGGGGAGCGAGGGGAAGTGCGGTAGGGAAAGAGACGGTAAAAGGGAACCGACTCGTCAAAAGTGACGTCCTGAGACGCAAAGACACGGCGCGAGGTGGGGTCGTAAAACTGCCAGCCAGGCGCGTCAAGGGGAAAACCAAGGAAGACGCGGGGAATGGCGCGAGCAGAGAGCTTGTCCGCGGTGAGATCGCGGACAAAGGCACGAGCACCCCAGACCCGGAAACGCGACGCATCGCCAACCTCCCCCGTCCACAGCAGCGTGGGCGAGGTCTCCGGCAAGGAGACACGAGGCCAGAGGTTGAGCTGATGCGCGGACCGCAAACGGCCACAGAAAATGGGGAGCCACCGCATGGATCATGGAGGTACGAGCGACCTCCATGACTAAGCCAATGCGGCGCTCAGCAACCCCATTTTGCTGCGGAGAGGCTGGAAGCGTGAACGACTGGCGGATGCCGTGCTCCTCACAGAAGGCCTGTAAGAGGTCGGAGGTGAACTCACCACCTCTGTCAGAGTGCAGACGCAGGATAGGAAAGTCCCGATCGAACCGCTCGCGGAGCTGGAGACGAACAGCGCGGATCCAAGGTATTAGAACATCAAGGACATCCCCCTTGGGCTGCAAGGGGAAGACCGTGGTGTAACACGTGTAGTCGTCGACCACCAGTAGGAAGTACCGCTCGCGGCCCTGCCCCTGGACGCGGGTTGGGCCCCACACGTCCAGGTGGAGAGTCTGCAGCGGAGCCTCTGTGGGAGGGAACGAGGAGTGAGGAGCGGCGCGCTGCCGCCCCTCGACGCAAGGAATGCATCGCAACGCAGGCGAGGGAGGGAGGGTAGGCAGAGACCTGGGAAGACCAGAGACCAGGGAGCGAGAGTGCATGCCACGAAGGCGAGGCAGGGAGGGGTGACCAAGGCGGTGGTGCCACAGGAGAGTGTCGTGCGACAGGCGGCGACACTCACACTGGGTAGCTACCTGAGAAGATGCGTACAGCTATGGAGACAAAGGGGTGTAGCGTGAAACAGTGGTGAGGGTGTACAGACTGGACCCAGGCTCACGAGTGAACGTGGCCAGGTGGCGGCCAGTCTTGGAGCACGTGAGGATCACTGCACTCTGTCCTCCAGGAGTCCAGGTGTCAACCCTATTATCCTAATGGACGGCGTTGCTCACCAGGTTCGTAGAGAACGAGGGGATGTGGAGACCTGACAGCTCACCAGACGGGACCGCCGGGCACGGAAGCACAGTCGTGGCTCGTGCAAGCACTGGGCCCCCAGAGGGGTCAGCTAGTGAGACAGGGACAAGTGCAGGGAGGGGAGTGACTGTGGTGCTGTCGCGAAAGAAACAGCGAGAAGCACCAGAGTCAAGTGTAAACGTGTGCAAGGCCTCAGCAGGCGCAGTACCAGAGAGAGCAGACTCACTAGCACCGAGAGCAGCAGCTGCTATACCAAGGTCAGGGGGCACACACAGGTAACAGTCACCCTCAGTAGTACTAGTCAGGGCATACATGGCAGTAAGGATAGTGTCATAGTCTAGAGCAAATATATCTACTCCGTCTCGAAGCAGCTCTAGCCAGAGGGGTAGCTCAGTCTCGTCGCCAAACCGTGCTCGCCAAGCGTCGCTCAGACGGGAGAAGCAGCGGGACTCTGTGTGACTAACTGTCCCGCAGGTCTGACCAGCTCGATCACCTGTGCGAATGACGTACGGGCAGCGAGCAGTAGTCCTACACCCCCAACTCTGAGCGTACCACTCATGCAGCTGCCGGGGCGTAAGGGTCTCGCGCGGGCGCCGCTGCAGCTGCATCTGGCCACCGCCAGAGACTCCGCACTGACCAGCTCCACCACGACTGCTACTACGGCCGCCGCCACCTCTCCGAGATGCACTACGCTGAGCGTACCACGCATGAAGCTGCTGGGGTGTAAGGGTCTCGCGCAGACGCCACTGCAGCTGGATCTCGCCACCGCAAGAAACTCCGCACTGAACAGCTCCACCGCGACTGCAACTATGGTCGCCGCCACCACTCCCACTGCCGCCACCGCCGCCGCCACCACTCCCACCGCTACTACGACCAAAGAGAAGGCATAGCGGGCAGCGCAAGGAGGCTTGGGACCAGCAGGGCAGCTCCCAGTGAAAGCAGGGCGACGAGAAGGCACTAGGGTAGCGCGTAGAGTAGGGCGAGGTGGCTCCCGGTCAAGGAAGGGTGGCGTGCGGCAGGAAAGGGCCGCGCGAGGGCGGCTGAGGCCGCGCGCGGGGTAGCCGCGGGCTGCACAAGGCGGCGCGCGGGGCAGCAGGGGGCCGCGCAAGGGCGGCGTACGCGGCGCGCGGGGCAGCTGCGGGCTGCGCAGGCGGCGGACGCGACGCGCGGGGCAGCAGCGGGCTGCTCGAGGGCAGCCGCCGCGGCGCGCGGGGCAGCAGCAGGCTGCGTGAGGGCGGCAGCCGCGGCGCGCGGGGCAGGAGTGGGCTGCGTGGGCTGCAGACGCGGGGCGCGGGGCAGCAGCGGGCTGCGCTGGCTGCAAACGTGGCGCACGGGGCAGCAGCGGGCTGCGCGCAGGTCTAGGGCAGCACGCGCGGGCAGTGCAGCGCAGGCAAGGCAGGCAAGGCAAGGCAGGGCGCACATGCAAGGCAAGGCAAGGCAAGGCAGGGCGCGCGCGGGCAGCGCAGCGCAGGCAAGGCAGGGCACGCGCGTGGGGCGCAGCGCAGGCAAGGCACGGCGCGCGCATGGAGCGCAGCGCAGGCAAGTGAGGCAGCTCAGTAACCGCAACGGTAGGTGGGCCCGAAAAAAAACGGTCCTACGGACCTTCTACTGTGAAACCATGTCAGAAAGTCTAGGCAGTAATGATGAACTAGCAAAAGGTTGGGTACAAATATGAAACCCTATTTATGTGGTTGTACTCCATATTGGCTACCCCACTACAGCCTACACAAATATAACATGCATATATGTTTGACATTAAATGCCAGGCTTGTTACATTTGCAAGAATGGACCCCTGCTGTAACTTTTGCAATGAACATACTTGTTTACAGCAACTAAAAAAAACGCATCCCATCCAACATTCTAATCCAGCAAAACGAAGGTTAGTAATTCAGATATTACACACTAATATGTAGACGCGGAAGACCTACTTGGCGGCCTTGGCCTTCTTGGCTGCACGTTTCTTCGCTGGGGACTTCTTTGTGGTTGAGGACGGTTCAGCGACTGCCTTAGCCTTCTCTGGGGTCTTTGCCTTAGGTGCCTTAGCCTTCTCTGGGGTCTTCGCCTTCGCAGCAGTCTTTTTCAATGCCTTGGGCTTGGCCGCCTTCGGAGCCTTCGCAGGGGAAGTCTTAGCAGCAACTGTCTTCGCCTTGGGCTTGGCAGTGACCGCTGCAGGCTTCGCCACCTTGGGCTTTGCTGGTGCTTTGGTCGCAGCGGGCTTTGCGGAAGCAGGTTTCTTCGCGGCTGGCTTGGCCGGCTTGGCGTCTTCGCCCAGCTTGTAGCTCGCCTTCACCTTCGTCAGCTTGCCAGCCTTGGTAAGATTCTTCAGCTGGACGCTAAGAGTCTTCTTCCAGTTCGCAGGAAGGTTCGGATGGTGTTGTTCAATATGTTTCGTAATGGCGTGAAGGCTGGAGCCGTTTCTCTCCTTCAACGATGTGATGGCGTCGCTCACCATCTGAAACAGTGAAAATATATATACTTCAGTCACGATAGCACAAGTGGAAAAATGGAGCAGGCAGAAACTCTGCGAGTGGACAACGAACCTCAATATACTTCGGGTGGTCACTCTTCGCCCTGGCTTTCGCTCCTGCAGGCTTCGCCGCCTTTTCAGCCTTCGCAGCCTTCGGTTTCGCAGCTTTCGTAGCTGCTGCCCTTGCCTTGCCAGTCGCCTTAGGCTTCTCTGCGTCGGTCTTGTTATCCGGGGATGGCTCCTCCATGGTTTCCGGTGGTGCTTCAGGTGCTGTTGTCTCAGCTGGAGCAGGCTCTACTGATTCTACAGGCGCCTCAGGCTCAACGGCCGGGGCGACTGGAGCAGGCTCCTGATTAACCTCTGTGGTAGCCAGATTGGATTTCGGAGCAGACATAAAAGAGTAACGGGACAAGATTGGGGAAGGAGACTCTCTGAGGTAGATGGCCACTAAAGTGAAAGAATGGTTGAAACCCCACAATGCAGTGGAAAAGAGCTGGTTATGAGAGCAGCGGGAGAACGGTTGGGAGGATATGCTTGGGAGGGGCAGTTTGTGCTCGACTCCGCTCCTGCGGAGGGGATGTGGTCGAATTGGGAACAGAACTTGGGAAATCAGTTTTGCGAGAAGTCAGCCACATCCCGCAACCGACGGTACCTTATCGACGGCCAGAAAATCTTCATGACGAGGGGGACGTTTGTTCCCCGATCTGCATAACAAGTTCCGGTAATGCCATTGTTTCGTACACTGATTAAACACGAACGTGTTATACGAACCTACCAGATAAGATGGCTCACAATCTTGAACGTTGTACATGCTGGATTTTATCAGAATGCCATATAATTCATACCTTATTTCGCTCCTCAGCCTTGTTCTGACCTCACGTTGATATGGTCTATTGGAATCGGCATACGGTAATGTTACGAGCTTGAAATTTTGCAGGGATTACCCTTCTCTAACTTTGTTCACAACACTTATCATTACAACTGTTACGAGTGCAATTCTCGCTCGCTCGCTCAATTGCACTATCGAAGCAAAAATGTACATTGAGCGAAGGCATGAGCGAGAACCATATAGCGAATGCAACAATGGTAACGGTAACAAACTGTGGGAGATGTGCGACGGGCCTGTAACTGAGGTTGTGACCGAGGTCGGGAATTGTCGAAGCGGACGCCCGAAGCGCGAGTTACCAGCCGAGCCGTGAGGTTGGGTTGCGACGGGCGAGGTGGCGGGAAATTGGTCGAGGTGAGTGTCACGAGAGTGTCAGAATCCAAGCCACTAACCACTGGGATAAAAGGGCTTGTTTAAGTAGCGGGTGAGTGCGCCCATAACCCCCCAGGCCGACGTGCCTGTAACCCTTCCCTAGGATCATCGGGGATCTCCAGTGGACCTCTGACACCCCCCCGCACTGGGATGCCCGAAGTGCACACACCGGGAATCGAACCCGAGACCTTCGCTCTGATACCATGTCAGAATCCCAGCCACTAACCACTGAGATAAAAGAACTTGTTTAAGTAGCGGGTGAGTGCGCCCATAACCCCCCAGGCCGACGTGCCTGTTGTTGGAAACAATAAATTGTAAACGCCTCTGTCGTGTCGAAACACCACACCAGAAGCGAAGCACGCCATGTCGAAGCACCCGCGAGTCAACCCTCGGAGGTTAAAAGAGGTTGCTGGAGGTTACGCGAAAGTCAAAGGTCAAGCGACCTTTGACCTGACAAATACAGCGCGACAGTTAAGGACACACAACTGACTCGTTACAGAGCAGTTGCCCGAGTCGTACTGTATCGAACCGCAACAGCAACAGTAAAGTAGTTACAAACTGCATCCTTTCATATTCCTTGTATTATTATATAATCTTGTACTTCCTTGCTATAATCAATCTACTTTTGTTGAGATAACCGGTAGTCTTAGGAGCCATAGCTAGGAGAGTCCTAGCTAGGCAAGAGAGTTTAGGCGAAAGAGGAGGGTTGCACTAGCAAGAATGGGGATACAAATAGCAAACCCTAGAAGGGTTGTACTCGCTACAGAGCACCCCACTACAGGCTAGAGCATAATATTCTGACACACCCCCATAGCCAAAGTGGGGTGTAATCAGCAGAGCAAGCAAAGCAGTACAAGCTCAGGGTGGATCACAATGTCACCACACATTCTGAGCACAAGTTTAAGAAGCAATAGTTTAAAGTTCACAATTATGAGCAAAGCTAGTGGTAGTCACAACGGGCAAGTGAGGAGGAGGAGGGCTGGCGAGAGGAGAGTAGATGGGAGGCGACGACTGAAGCTGCAGGCACACGGGCAACAGACGGCTCTGGTGCGACACAGTGGCTACCGGGAGTGAGTGCCCCGGAGTACAGGAGTAACAGGCTCCGCGGCTAAGACGAGCAGCAGGAGCAACGGACCCACAGGCGACGGCGCAACCGGCTCTCTGAGCTACCGGGAGTGAGTGCCCCGGAGTACAGGCGCTGCGTACGACACGACGGCAACCTCCCCTCAACCTCCCCCAACAGTCCCACACCCCTCGACACACACCCCCTGCTGAAACCCTAGCTCCACTCCCATGGCACCCCCCTTAAACCCTAAACCCTCGGCTCCCACACACCCACCCCCCTGAGCAGCAGCTGCAGCAGTGGGAGACGGAGGAGGAGGAGGAGCAGGGGACGGCTCACACTCACGGCACCCCCATACCCTCCACCCCCAAACCCTAACACAGGAACGCGGGCAGTAGCGGGGGTGGGGCGCCGGCAGAAGCTCGGGGGACGGACGAGGCGCGCGCACGGGCCTGCCGCAGGCCGGACGAGGCGCGCGCGGGCTGCCCGGGCCGCGCGCGGGCTGTACAGGCCGCGCGCAGGCCTGGCGCAGCCCGTACGGGCCGCGCGCGGGCCTGGCGCAGCCCGTACGGGCCGCGCGCGGGTCCCAGGGGCGCTTCGACGTGCGACAGGGGCGTTTCGACGGGCGACGGGGGGCGCTCCGACGGGCGACGGGGGCGCTTCGACGGGCGACGGGGGGGAGCGCTTCGACGGGCGACGGGGGGCGCTTCGACGGTGGGAAACCGCCGCGCGCCTCGGGGCGCACGGCGGGCAGAAAACCGCCGCGCGCCCCGAGCGCGCGGCGGGAAGAAAAAAACGAACATCGCGCGCCACGGGACGCGCGACACACAGGAAGGCAGCGGAAGCAGGCGGGCCCACAGGCCAGGAGCGTAACCGCTCTGATAGCATGTTGAGATAACCGGTAGTCTTAGGAGCCATAGCTAGGAGAGTCCTAGCTAGGCAAGAGAGTTTAGGCGAAAGAGGAGGGTTGCACTAGCAAGAATGGGGATACAAATAGCAAACCCTAGAAGGGTTGTACTTGCTACAGAGCACCCCACTACAGGCTAGAGCATAATATTCTGACAACTTTGCCCTCACATACCAGCGCAAGGTGGTTCACAAACTTTTGTTAAACGCTTCCGCTATTACAACACTATCCATCCAGAGTTCTCCCTTGAAAGATCCTAAGGGGCTATCTCAGCCCAACATGGTATGAGAGCAAACAGGGGAAACTCTACTACCTTCAAATCATTACAAGACATGGCAACAAGCAAGGAAAGGAGCTCCTCTAACGGCTCCCCAGGCACTACTCCTACTCCACCTCCTGCCTCTGGCCTGCAGACAGAGGAAGGCACGGCAACAAGACCAAGAGTAACATCTACTGAAACTCCCGCAAATCACCCCGCGAACTTCGACCCGAGTATAATGGAGAAGTTCTTCTCCTTCATGTCCTTCTACGAGCAGCACCAGCAGTCGGGACCTGCACAATCACACAACAGCAACAACAACGGAGCAACACCCATGAGCCTTGACGGGTCGTCATATGCGCGCGGAAACCAACAGCAGCAACCTACCTTCGCCCCGTACGAGCGCGGGTCGATCAGCTTCATGCCGCAGCCTTCACCTGGACAAGATAAACCACTGGACGCGTTACAAGTGCAATCGCAGTTCGCGCACGTTCTGAAGCTGCAGACATCAAGGCCCTTCGACGGAAAGGACTTCTTCACCTGGTCATTCGAGTTTGAGTTAATGATGGAAGGCGCGCAGATACTCGGCTTCTTCGACGGGTCCCTGCAATATCCAGCAAACGGCACACAGTATGAGAAACAACAGTATACGTATCAATCGATGATGGCGTATACGATTCTGCTGAGGAACGTCACACCAACTCAGCAGCAGAACATACGCTCTTACCGGGGTTACGGCAACTCCGCTGAGCTCGCGTACAGCCACCTGAAGAGCCTGTATCAAGCAACAGACAGCGTAAACCAAAGCAGGTTAATGGCGCAGTTGACAACAGTTGAAATGAAACCGGGAGAAAAGGGGATGGCGTATATCAGCCGATGTCGCGAACTGCGCGACAAGCTTCTTCGATGCGGAGGGTCAATCTCTGAAGACGCCTTCGTGACAGTCATCATTGGTGGTCTCGGTCCCCAATGGCGCGCCACCAAAGCTATCCTCCGAGCCCACGGCAGAATTTCTGAAGCAGCACTCTGCGCCGAAATCCACGCCGAGCAGCAGGACATGGACCTGCAAGAAGAACGACACAGAAAGAAGACGACAACATCAGAGTTCGCGTTTCACACTCAACGACGTCACAACAACTACAACAATCGACAGCAACAACCGAAGCCAGTACCTCCTTTCTGCCACATCTGCAAGACTTCAGGACACCCGCGCACACACTGCCCGAATCGACAACAGTCAACGACTCCGCAGCGACAGCTACGACCTTCAAGCAATCAAGTCGCATCAACACAGGCGAATCCAACGACCCAGCTCCAATCTTCAACAACTCCAACGGGACAACCTGCGCAAGGAGCAAGAAACATCGTTAGCTGCATGGCAAGACTGAACGATTCTTGCATCACAGAATCGCCACCGTACTACTCACCAGAAGAGCAATTCGACGAAACGACACCACGCCGCGAGTCACTTCAGCCGAACCCGACATACGCTGCCATAGCCCAAAACGAGCCATCCGGGAAGGACACGTGGTTCTTGGACAGTTGCTGCGGACAACACATGTGCTCCTCAGGACGCTTCGTACAACGAGAATACCAGCTTCAACGAGAAGTAGTCATCACCGTCGCCAACAATCAGAACCTGCGCACACGACGACAAGGCGTGGTTCAACTTCAGTCACGGGAGACAAACGTCATTCTACAGATGTCCAAGGTTTTAATTGCAGAAGGCCTCGGCTACAACTTACTCAGCGTCAGTCAACTGATGGCGAAAGGCATTCACCTTGAAGCAGACAGCACAACCCAGGAATTCAAGCTGTACCACGGGAGAGGAGGTCTCTACATCGGCAAGGCGGTTCTCAAGAACAACGTCTTCGTTCTTGACTTCGTCCCCGATCTCGGAACGGCCGACAGCGACGCCATCGTCAACTTCACCAACTGGACACACCCTCCAGATCTTGATCCAGACTTCAGCCCGAGCGGCTTCTGGTACTCACACACCATCCCTGAAACAGAAAGAACAAGGGCGCTGGCGACAATTCAGCAGTCGGCAGCAGCAGAGACAACATCGGCAGCAGCAGAGACAACATCGGCAGCAGTAGAGACAACATTGGCAGCAGCAGAAACAACATCGACAGCAGCACAGACAACAGCAGCAGCAGCAGAAACATCAACACCAGTCGCCGGTCCCTCAACGGCACAGCCCTTCATCGACGAGACGCCGCCAACACCGGCGCAGCAGCTCAACCCGGCACCACGGGAAGTTCACAGAAGCGCGAACATCATCGCCGGCTTCTACTCCAACTCCGACATGTACCGACGCTCGCCAGGACACCGCGCCAACGAAGAAACCTGGCACGCAAGAATGGGACACCCAAGCAACACAGTATTAAACAACACGATAAGAGCTGGAGTACTTGACAAGGATTCACTCTTACTGATCGACGGCAGAGAACTTCAGCGAGCTCGAGGAACGTGCTTCACCTGCCCCGAAGCTGACTTACCGCATCAGCCCTTCGTCTCGCATCACAACCCAAGCGCACCTGCATATGCACCACTCGAGAAAGTGTACAGCGACATCTTGTACAACCGCGAACCCGGACAAAACGCGTATAACTACACCATCACCTTCATCGACGCCGCTACACGTTACGTCTGGCACCTAAACTTACCAAGTCGCGACATGGCTTTCGAGGCTTTCGTGGCATGGCTTCCAGCAGCAGAACGGGAATCGGGAGCTAAGCTCAAAAGTTTTCAATCAGACGGAGGAGGAGAATACTCGTCACAGCGGTTCAAGCAGTATCTGGCGGAGAAGGGAATCAAGAGACTCATCTCCCTTCCCTACGCCCATCAACAGCAGGGTGTAGCAGAAAGGATGAACAGGACTCTGCAGAACACCATGCGCAAACTGTTACGTGGCATGCGGCTACCCAACCACCAGTGGCCCGAAGCAATGGACCACGCCGTAATGCTGCACAACTTGCTTTCTTCGTCGTCACTCCCGAACAACACATCACCGCATCTGCTGTGGACAGGGAAACTGGGCAGCACAAAAATGTTACGAGTCTTCGGCTGCATGGTACAGTACCGACCCCCATCTGCACGAGCCGGCCGATTCTCCCAACGCGCACAGTGGGGACTACACCTGGGCATCGAAAAACATTACAACGCGTGGAAAATCTTCGACATCCACACCAAGGAAACAGTAGCAGCACGTGATGTCATTTTCTACGAACGGCTCACACTGCCAACGTACCTTGCCAACCTGGACGAAAATCGAGACCCCACAGGTGGCTTCCGTGGCGATCGAGCCTTCGCTTCGGCAGGAGACGAAGCTGACTGGGACGAGCAGAACGTGGAAGGAGCCTCGGAAGAAGCCGGACCTCTTCCCTACTGCTCAGTGGACGTACCGATGGACGAAGATAACCCTCGCGAAAGCGTCAACGCCGAAACCTACTACCACTTCGCCGACAACGGTTACGTTACACCTGCTGAAGTCAACACCAACGAAGCAGAACGCATAGGGCCCAACTTCGCACCTGATCCAGAAGCTGGAGACGAGGCAGTCTATCCCGAGGACACCACACTCCCCCGCTACACACAGAGTGGACTCCAGATACTCGGGCTCGTCACCGCAGTCCACGGCGCCGCCATTCCTAAAGAGCCTGCAACGATTCAGCAGGCTCTGGGGGGGGAACACAGGGAAAAATGGCGTGAAGCCATGGACAAGGAGCTGAAAGCGCTAGAAGAACGCAACACCTGGAAAATCGTTCCTATCGGCGTAGCACGAAACAAGACCATTCTCACCGGAAAATGGGTCTTCCGCGTGAAGACGAAAGCAGATGGCACCATCGACAAATTCAAGGCGCGCTGGGTCGTACGCGGCTTCGACCAAGAGCACGGACGCGACTTCACCGAAACCTTTGCTCCGGTCAGCCGACACACCTCACTACGCATTCTCCTCGCGATCGCCGCCATGAAGAAGAAAAAGCTACGACAAATCGACGTCGCAAACGCCTTTCTCTACGCACCTGTTGACGCAGAAATCTTCGTGGAGCTACCACACGGCTCCAGCACGGACTCCACACACGTCTGTCAACTACTCAAATCGCTCTACGGCATCAAACAAGCCCCACGACTGTGGCAACAGTACCTGCACGCACGACTTGTTCGCATCGGTTTCAAGCAGCTACCGCACGATCAGGGAATGTATCGGCTCACGAAGGGTACAGACTACATCCTCCTAATCGTCTACGTAGACGATTTACTCTACATCGGCTCGACAGACAACGTCACCTCCTGGTTCGAAGGGGAGCTGCAGAAAGACCTCACGCTCACGGTCTCGTCTACCGTCACACAGTACCTCGGCCTCAACATCCGAGAAGAAGAAGATGCGATCTACCTCAACGCCGCGAAATATGCCGACACCATCGCCAAACGCTTCGCTCTCACACCAGCCGCCATCTCCACGCCATACCGCTACACGACAGGAACCGAGAAGGGACGATCCACTCTACTCAAACCAGCCGGCATACGCGACTATCAGAGGAAGCTCGGATGCCTCCTCTTCGCAGCCGTCACTTGCCGTCCCGACCTCTCATACTCCGCAAGTCAACTCGCCACCTACCTCAAGAGGCCTGAAGCAGAACATCTGGCGGAACTTGACCGCGCTCTTCACTACTTCATCAGCACCGCGACGATCGGCCTAACCTACCACAAGAACGCAGCTACACCAACTAAGCTAATCGGCTATGTCGACGCCGATCACGCCGGCGACTCCGACAACAGGCGCTCACGTACCGGCTACGTCTACCGCCTCGAACCTATCGGACCTATCTCCTGGCAGTCGAGCAAGCAGGAGTTAATCGCGTTATCATCAGCTGAGGCAGAATATATCGCACTCTGCTCAGCCACCAAGGAAGGCCTTTATCTTCGCGAGCTGCTGGAAGAAGCAAAGTTAGCTGAGTTACCCAACTTCACCCTGTTCTGCGACAACCAGTCTGCAATTCGCATCGCCAACAAGAACGGCTTCGCGAACAGGACGAAACACATCGCCCTGCGTTACTTCTTCGTGAAGGACGAGATCGAGAAGGGGAGACTTCAGCTGTCATACTGTCCCACGTCCGAGATGGCAGCCGATTATTTGACCAAGAAACTCGGAAAGCAGAAATTCGAGTACTGCGTGTTGCTGACTGGACAAAGCCACGTCATCAAGAGCGACACTCCAGAAGCGAAGGGGAGTGTTGGAAACAATAAATTGTAAACGCCTCTGTCGTGTCGAAACACCACACCAGAAGCGAAGCACGCCATGTCGAAGCACCCGCGAGTCAACCCTCGGAGGTTAAAAGAGGTTGCTGGAGGTTACGCGAAAGTCAAAGGTCAAGCGACCTTTGACCTGACAAATACAGCGCGACAGTTAAGGACACACAACTGACTCGTTACAGAGCAGTTGCCCGAGTCGTACTGTATCGAACCGCAACAGCAACAGTAAAGTAGTTACAAACTGCATCCTTTCATATTCCTTGTATTATTATATAATCTTGTACTTCCTTGCTATAATCAATCTACTTTGCCCTCACATACCAGCGCAAGGTGGTTCACAAACTTTTGTTAAACGCTTCCGCTATTACAACACTATCCATCCAGAGTTCTCCCTTGAAAGATCCTAAGGGGCTATCTCAGCCCAACACCTGTAACCCTTCCCTAGGATCATCGGGGATCTCCAGTGGACCTCTGACAGAGAGGTAACGGTGCACAGTATGGCGAGAATAGTAATGTACGCGCTAAGCAGGAAAGAAAAAAATCCTTACAACTACTCGACTTATCAATGGTACGATGGTATTCACTGGTATTGAGTTCGCACGCACATTGTCATGATGCGAACATTGTCATGATGTCCATGTAGGAATCAACTGATTTTCACTCGGAAAGGGACAGCATAAAAATGGTCAGCTTCAGCTCCTAGTTTCTATGGAGAAAAGATACAAAGAAAGAAAGAAAGAAAGAAAGAAAGAAAGAAAGAAAGAAAGAAAGAAAGAAAAAAAAACGAAAAGAAAAGAGAAAACTCTAAAGAATATTGTGCCCGAGTCTCTGAAGCAGATGAAAGTCATGCATCAGGTTGAAAGAAGCACCTTGCAGCTGCCGCTGCTGCTGCATGCTACCCGGGTGTATGCAAATCATCAACCTAGCCTAGCTTCACGAGCCAACACCTGTGGTGTGAAGGAGAGAAGGCAGAAAGGGCAATGACTGGATACTAGGGACATGGGGGAAAGGAACTGCTGTGGGGCCATTTCAGAGTTGCAGTTAGAGAGGAGAGAGATGCAACAAGGGGGAGTTGGGGGTGGGGAAGACGGGAGGGGGTAAGGTGTAGGTGTGGGAAAACGGAGGATGGGAGGAAGTGACACGAGGGTGGAAAGGTATAGGAGATGCCTGCAGCCAACCAGCATGTAAGAGTACAATAATTGCCAGGTGATAGATGCGAGCCAGTTTGGAGATAGCAAGGGAGGGCAGAAGATGAGGCCTTGCATATGCAGTGGGTGGTGGGGGACTCGGACGTGGCAGCTTAAAAATCTTTACCACACTCGAGTGCGAGTGCTGCGCTTTCCCAACCCCTGCACCCACACCCTCCTTCACGCGGCATGATGACATTGTGCAAGGCGAATCCCAGCCAAAAAAGTGTTGAGAGTGTCGACTGGGGACAGAATCACGGGTTAGACGTTACCTGTCTTTGCATCGAATTGCACCTTGCTGCTTCCGTTGCTTTCATGGACAGGATTGAGGATCCTGATTATTCTACTAGCAAATCCTAAGTATACATGTCCTTTCCACGGGCACCCATGCTTTGGCACAATGCTGTGCCCTGCGGTGCAGTGCGGTGAGGTGCGGTTATGGTCGACGCATCGCACCTCGTCAGCGAACTTGATGAGGATGGTGGTGCGTGGCCGTTGCTGCCCCTCCACCTGCACGTAGTGAGCTGTGACTCGCGCTGGGAAGCCTGCATTGTCCAGCACGCCCTGCGCACGTGGGGGGGTGAGTGGGGACGAGAGATTTTGGCCCGGTGGAGAGCGGTACAGAGGCAGTGAGAGGCGCAGAGCAGTGAGGAACGAGGTGGGTACTGTTGATGGAATGTGGTGATAAAACAGAAGAGGCATGCTGGAGTGAGAGCAATGGGGAGTGAAGGCCACAGGAGTGAGGCACCAATGGTACTAGCAGACACAACAAGTGGAATGGATTGGCACCTGTAGAAACTACTACAAGCTGCATGCATCATGACAGGGTCCAGTTTGGCTTGCTCTGTAGCAGCCAGGCGTGCATTGGCATGAAGGAGCATGCGGTGAGGGGATGGGTGACGGACCTTGACGATGCCTGCCACGAAGGCCCCACAGTTGAACGCACCCATGTCCCTAGGCACTGAGATGAACCTGATGTGCACGCACACATGCACACATGCACACATGCACACATGCACACATGCACACATGCACACATGCACGCATGCACACATGCACATATGCACACATCCACACATGCACGCAGACAAACACATGCACGCACATGCACAGGCGAGCAGGCAAGTGTGCGGTGACCAGTGATCAAGAAGGGAGAGAGTGGCGGGTCGTGGATGAGAGCTATGAGTGAGGGAAAGAGGAATGAGAGTGGGGAGAAGGAGAGCACGAGGGGAGAGAGAACATCGAAGAAGGGGTTTTCAAGGGAAGAAGAGGGGCACCTGTTGACGAGCAGCTCTTTCTCGCTGATCATGTACTCGTCCTCGTGCTCTGTGCTCTTCTCCAGTGAATCCGCCACCTGCCGTGCCGTGCACCGCACACACGCACACACGCACACACGCACGCACGCACGCACGCACGCATGCACACACGTGCACGCGCGCACACACACACATCATTGCACACTTCAGTTTTCCCCAACACCAGCGCACACAAACATACACACAATCTTGCACAAACGAGCTTTCTCCAACTCTTCCTTCATGCCTGCTGCCTGCACGACTGCCACCACGTTGCTGCTGCTCTGATTCCCAACCCCACTAACGAACCCTGCACTGCTTCTTGTGGATCGTGCTGTACTATATTTCCGACTTTTGAGTCAACTAAAAAATAGCTCTGACTCCCAAGTACACTAACGCTGCTCCGCTTCTTGTGGATCGTGCTGCACACTATTTCCACCCACTGCAGCTACAGGAACACCACACAATCTGCCTCACACATTCCTCCCCACACGGCCTACCCCACACTCGAATTCACGCACAGCCCGCTGCAGTGAGCGCAGAGCGTCACCCACAGGTGCACCGCACCTTGCCAAAGAGTGCCTTCCACACAGTGCTGTGCACGAACGACAGACAGTGTTGTTCTTTGAATCAACTCAGCACACAGTCCCAACTCCCTACCCCCCACCCCCACCCCCACGCGCACCTTGCCAAAGAGCGCCTTCCACACGGTGCTGTGCACGAAGGAAAGTATGCCCAGCACCCGCGTCTCCCGCCTGTTGCCCTGCACCGGGGGAAGCGGCATGCAGGGAGGGGGGGAGAGAGGGGAGGGGAAGGGCGAAGAGGGAAGGGCAAGGCTGTCGTTGTTGGGCAGGGAGACGAGGGCCTCCAACAGGCGGGCGGGCGGGTAGACGGGCGGGCACGGCTGGGCGGGAGAGCAGGAGGGCAGGAGGGCAGGAGGGCAGGAGGCAGACAGGCTAGCAGGGGGCCGGGTGGGCGGGCAGGCGGGCAAGGGAAGGCATGCAGGAAGGGGGACCATGGGTGGGCCTCAAGACGTCTTTGAATACGCCCTTGGGGCTCAGGTATGTGAAAGGCCCATAACATCACCCTGTTGCTCTGGTTGAATTTGAACGTAGGAGATTCCAGTGACAAGGTGGGGGGCAGGGGGCAATGAGAAGAGGACGTGAGACGGGTGGATGCATGCAGGACGAGCATGCGGGTGCCGTGGCAGAGGGCGGAGGGAAGCGAAGCGGACAGAGGAGTGGGATGGGAAGTCAGAAGAGTGTATATTGGGTTGGATGGAGAAAGGGAGGGAGGGAGGGAGGGAGGGAGGGAGGGAGGGAGGGAGGGAGGGAGGGAGGGAGGGAGGGAGGGTTGAATGGATGGAATAACAAACGGATGGTGAATTTCCCAGAACGTCCCATTATCAGCCAACCCTTCCCCCTCCTCCACAGTGCAACCCCCCAAATTCCATTTTCACTCATAAAATCCCCTCCCTCCTCCTCATGCTCACCTTTTCTCGCTGCACAAGCAGCTCTAGCATGCGCAGCCCTATGCCATAGCCCAGGTCCTCCAGCCTACGCCCAGGGAGGGTGCGTTGTGCAGGTGTGTGGGGAGGAGGAGGGAGGGTGAAAGGAGGGATGTATTGCAGGGAGGAGGGATTGGAGGGGAAGGGAAATGGGGAGGAGAAGTGGGGAAGGGGGTGAGGGAGGGTACAACAAGTGGTTGGAGAATCGGAGAGGATGTGGAGAGGTGGAAGGAAAAGAGGGTGGAGCAGGATGACGGGATATGAGGCGCAGGAGGGAGGAGGGGCTGTGAGGGGCGGAATGCGGTAGAGTGCAATGGGAGCAACAACGCGGGTGTGTGGTGCGGTGCAGAATAACAACGAAGGATGACAAAACAAAATCAGAAGACACACGCCAGGGAGGAGAGAAGGCAACAAGTGGGTGTGGGGTGTTGGGTGTTGGGTGTTGGGTGTGGGGGGATGGGTGTGCGGTGTTGGTGTGGAGCGCTCACTTCCTCTCGAGCTCGGCAATGTTGTTGACGCGCGTCTGGCTGTACTGCACCATCTCCGAGAAGAGAAACGCCAGCGCGCTCAGACTCACCTGCCACCGCGCACCCATGGCGCAGGGCGGGGCAGGGGCAGGGGGTGGGAGGTGTTTGGCATGAAGACGGGTGCGGGGGGCGGGGTGAGTGGGGGAGGAGGGGCTGAGTCAGGGGGGAGAGGGTGGGTGAGAGGGGGGGGGGAGAGGGAGGGAAGGGGTGAGGGAGGAAGGGAGTGAGTGAGGGGAAACGGGTGAATGAGGGGGAACGGGTGAGTGAGGCGGAAGAGAATGAGTGACGGGAACGGGAGTGAGTGGGGGGGGATGAGTGAGGGAAAATGGGCGAGTGAGGGAAAACGGGCGAGTGAGGGTGAAGGGGATGAGTGAGTTGGACGGGGGGTGCGTGACAAGGAAAGAAGCCATCGTGCGTGAAGGGGATGAGTGAGTTGAATACGGGAAGCACAAGGCAAGTGCAACAAGAACGTCTCTCGAAGATGCAGGTGGAGAGTCACAGGCAGGCAGAGCGAGCGGAACGAGCGGAACGAGCGAGGCTCAGGCAAGAGAGCGCTTTAAGGCCGGCGGCGGTAAGCCAGACACGGGGAGGAGCGGCGATAGCGGTGGGAAGTGGAGGGGCGGCGCGACGCGGGCCAGCCGAGCAGCGAAGGTGCCGGCACTGCCGGCAGTAGCCTGTGCTGCCCGCCCGTACCCCCCAACTGAGTAACAGCTACTGCCTATATGCCACCTCCTACTGCCTCAACCGCGCCATTCCGCTCCATCCGACGACGACCGGCGAAAGTCCACGCAAACGCGGAGCGCCGGAGCGGAAGCGAGAGCAGGACCCTGGGAAGAAACACGACGCAGGAGTGGGGGGGAAGGAGGGCGAGGAGGCGCGCGAGGCGCGCGAGGCGCGCGAGACGCGCGCGGCGTACCTCGGGCTTGCCGCGGCTCACCTCGGACTTGCCGCGGCTCACCTCGGACTTGCCGCGGCTCATGGGGCGATCTACAATGTTCTGCAGCTGCTTCGGCCGCGACGCCCCTCCGATCATCATCTTCGCGACCGTTACGGGAGACCGTTGCTCGTATCGGGTACGGCTGTGACGGGCTAAGGACGCGGCGCGCCGCGGCCAGGTGTGTAAGAGGAACGAGGATCCGTATTCGTTACATACGGCTCCGGATTGTTTTTGGTGTTTCGGTCGGTCAGACGCGCTCCCCTGCTTTGATTCCAAGCATTCAACCCTCCACAAGTCGAAATATCTCCATTCATGTTACAAGCACGCACTTCGCCAACTAAATGAGAAATAATAAGTTGAATAATCGGTGTTTGAATCAAGTTTGACAAAAGGTTAGTCTGGTAAGGGCCAACAGGAAAACACCCTAACTTTTAGGTACAAAGCTAGATACGTGTACTTGGACACGCTACACATTTATTTTGGACCGCACAGGTTGGGTGGGATTCCTAGCTAGGTGCCACCGCTGAAGCTATGATAAGAATGGAGCATTAAAATTGACTACACAATATCTGGTCAGAATCACCCAAAGTGGATCCCTGCCCGGTTAAAGATAGCTAGTAGATGCACAAAGTCATCTTCAGACAGCTTGGACGACCGCTTGTCCTCATACCCCTCCGCCTTCAACACATCCAACACCTTCTCCTTGAACTCTGGCAACGGCCCTCCCTTCCCCTTCCCTCCCTTCCCTCCCTTCCCCCCACTCCCCTCCCCTTCCTCCTCCTCCATAGCCTCCGCACCATCCTCCTCCTCCCCGTCCTCCACCTCACCCTCCTCCCAGTCATCGTCTCTCATGAACACATCAGCAGCGCGCCCCTGCGCTGCACCCTCCCCCTGCCCCTGCCCTGCAGCCACCCCGCCTGCAGCCTGCAGCGCTTGAAACGTGAGCATGTTTTCATGCAGCAGGTTGAGAACGTTCTTTTGGCGGAAGATGGCGCCTAGGGTTTTGTTCTTGCGCGAGAAGCACAGGCGCAGCAGCCCGTCCCACTCCTGCAGGTTGATTGGAGGGAGGGGGTGCCGTGGCTCTATACGCACTACACTGGAGTCCACCTTGGGTGGCGGGCGGAAGTTATTGCGCCCCACCTGGTGATGATGGGTTGAAACGGGGGGGTGGAGGGAAAGGGGGGAGGGGGCGAGGGGGTGAGGGAAGGTGGGGGGGAGTGGGGGAGCGGGCGCGGTGGCTCTATGCGCACCACGCTGGAGTCCACTTTAGGCGGCGGGCGGAAGTTATTGCGCCCCACCTGGTGGCCGTGAAGGGTTGACAACGGGGGGGTGGAGGGAAAGAGGACATGGGGGAAGGGGTGCGCTGTGCTGCCGTCAAGCTGGGAGGCGTATGGTCGTGGTGGGTGATGTGGCGAGGAATGAGACAACAAGGGTGCACATGGAGCAGGTGAAATACGTTACACACGCACCCTATTCCCCTGTTGTAGATGCTTAGAAATCCTGCTGCCACATGCCATCCACCACACGCCTTCTCACCTTGAGTAGATGGTGGATCCGAGCGAGCAGCTGCGAGTTAGCACTAAGTCGACAATACAGGTTGTCCCCCGGGCGTGCGAGCAGGCGCAGCGCAAACTCCTTCTGGAACATGATGATGGCGGCGCGGAAGAGCGGGCGGTGCGCCAGCAGCTTGAACACGATGGGCGACGAGATCTGGTACGGGATGTTGGCGACACAGATGTCAAAGTATGGCAGGTCCACCTTCAGGATGTCGCCCTGGATGATCTGCAAGGGGGGAGGGGGGTGCAGTGGACGGGATGGTTGATTTGGTGGGGAGAGGGGGTTTGAGGGCGTTCGCGGGTTGCACAGGGGGAGATCCGAGAGGAGAGGCAGGGATGTCAAAGTAGGGTAGGTCCACCTTGAGGATGTCGCCCTGGATGATCTGTGGGGGGGAAGGTTGGGGTTTGGGGGTTGACAAACAAGGAGTGTTTGGGAGAGGCAAGTCCACCTTCAGAATGTCGCCCTGGATGATCTGTGGGGAGATAGAAGGGTGTGGGATCGCAGGGGAAGGATTGAAAGTGGGGGCTAATGGGTTGAAGTTGAAGGTTTGTGGGCACGGTGAGGGGAGAAGTGGGTCCGCCCACCCTCAGAATGTCGGCCTGTGGCGGAGAGATAGGATGGCGTTGGGGGTTGAAGGGTCGAGGTTGAGGGTTGTGATCAAATGGTTCAATAGTTTTTGGTTTTCCAGAGTTGAAGAGTTGGGGTGGAGAAAGGATGGGCTTAGTCAGGAAAAGGGTGAAGGGGGGAGGGGGGAGGGGGAAAGGGGTGTGGTGGCGGAGGAAACGGATGGGAGGAGAGGAGCGGAGTGGGCCATGCAGAAAGCATTGGACATCTGCTGCCCGGAGCAAGGGGGGCTTAGGTTACGAGCATGGCAGAGAGCGGGGGTGGGTGGGAACAACTGGTCGGAGAGGAGGGGAGGAAGGGGGGGGGGGGAAGGTGACGATAGAAGAGGAACGAGAAGAGATGAGAAGATAGGGAAGGAAGCGAAGAGGGAAGATGAGGATGGGCGAGTGGAGGGGATGAGATGGGATGGGATGGGATGGGATGGGATGGGATGGGATGGGATGGGATGGGATGGGATGGGATGGGATGGGAGAGGAGGGAGGTGAGGAGAGGAGAGGGGAGAAAACGGGAGGTGCCCTCCACAAGCACGTGCCCTCCACGAGTACGTGCCCTCCACGTGCAAATTCCCCCCACGTGCCCCCCACGTGCCCTCCACGTGCACGCGCGCGCCCACCTGCAGCTTGTTTTCGAAGGGCGTGCCCTGCACGCGGCGCGAGAGCTCCTGCACCATGCGCGGATCTAGCTCCACCGCCACCACGCGCTTCCCCGCCTCCAGCAGCTTCACCGTCAGGTTGCCTGGGGGAGGCGGACGGGAGGGGGAGAAGGGGCGGAACGGGGGGAAAGAACGGCGGAAAGGGGGGTTGACGGGAGGGAGCGGGGAGGAGGAAGCGGACGAGGGGAAGCTGCGAGCGCAACCACTTCCGGGGCCCAGAGTTTTACACGCTACAAGACACACGCGAGAAGCGCGGGCGGCAACGCGGCACAGCGGTCAACCTCCCAAGTCACCCCACAGGAAGCTTCCTCCCGTCCAGGCGCGACACACCTAAGCACCCCTTCACGCACCCCTTCACGCACCCCTTCACGCACCCCTTCACGCACCCCTTCACGCACCCCTTCACGCACCCCTTCACGCCGCTCACCGCACATCCCAGCCGCCAACTCGATTCTCCTCTCTCCACTACAAACCCCCTCGCCTGTTTTATTCAAGCACGCTGCTGGCTGCAAGGCCGCACGCTGCTGGCTGTTTTATCCACGCACCCGTTCCGGGACCGATTTCGAGCACGGTGTCCGTGGACTTGACGCCGGCCTTCTGCACGATGGCCTGCACCACCATGGGGTTCTTCAGAATGTGCTGCCCCTTGCTCTTCTGAAACTCGATTCCTTGGAATCTCCGCGACGCGCCGTCCTTGCTCTTTCGAGGAGCTTTCCCGCCCGCCATCCCCGCTGCGGCGGCAAAGTCGAAGGGTTTCGCGACTGGTTCGGTAGAAGCGGGGCCGGTGCTGTGCAGCGACGCCGGACGATTGGTCGACGCGACGTGGAGAGGATGGCTGGCGAAAGAAGGTACGAATTCGCAGAGCGACTTGGCGAGTGATACTTTGCGAAAATTGGTCGCGAAGGTTGACGCGGATGGGGAATCGAAACCTCCTCGAACTAACTCGGACGGCAGAGCACGAGATGATGCTACTCCAGGTAACAGCGCCGAGGCAGACGGTGCACGCGCAGGGAACGTAGCTAATGGATGGAGCTTTTTCGCGATTGCGCGATTCCTTGTTGCTCGTGCTGTGGCTGCACTGCAAACAAGCATATCGCGGATTTCAGGTTTGAGAGGGGTTTTGGCAAGGACTAGGGTTTGATTATGTGGGTAGGGTGCTGCGGTGATCAAAGGGGTGTTTACAGAAAACTACCGGTTTAGCTGACAAACTATATTCACGCTCTTGTCATTTCCAAACTGCCCCTGATAAATACTCATTCGTATTTATATGATCAATACACACACACACACATACACACACACACATACACAAACGCACACGCAAAATGCACACATGCATACACATATGCATACACGCGCTCGCACACGCACACAGACACGCATACACATACGCACGAACATACACACACAAATACGCAGAGATACACACAAACATATGCACACAAACAAACGCACACAATTGCATGCCTTTCGGGAACAAATCAACCCTACAAAATGTTTTGGGTTGATGCCTACAAAATTGTACGCCATTCCAAAGTGGGTTTCTTTTTCTTTGGCAGTGTGACTACTGTCAGAATCCCAGTCACTAACCACTGGGATAAAAGGGCTTGTTTATATAGCGGGTGAGTGCGCCCATAACCCCCCAGGCCGACGTGCCTGTAACCCTTCCCTAGGATCATCGGGGATCTCCAGTGGACCTCTGACACCCCCCCGCACTGGGATGCCCGAAGTGCACACACCGGGAATCGAACCCGAGACCTTCGCTCTGATAACATGTCAGAATCCCAGTCACTAACCACTGGGATAAAAGGGCTTGTTTATATAGCGGGTGAGTGCGCCCATAACCCCCCAGGCCGACGTGCCTGTAACCCTTCCCTAGGATCATCGGGGATCTCCAGTGGACCTCTGACAACTACTGGCGGGATTCACTTGCCCTTTCAGATATCATGACATGATAGTGTCAATAATTGAAAAAAGAAAAAAAAATCTTTTGTAATAAACTACTAAAAAATGGTGTGGTCTATTTTCTTATTATCTTAATAGAACCAGTTGTCAATAATGTATGAAAAAATGTTTTATATTACCTTTCCATCCTTACACATCACATAGCTAGTATATTTTCAACACGTTTTCAACTTTATTAGCTACCAACGGTGCATAGTTCCTAAAAAAAAAAAAAACGTAATATTTGATTGCGTTTTGCGGACCTGCTGAACGCAAGTCTGCAAAGAGTGGCATACTCAATTGAAAATCATCATAACAGATCTGTTGAACGTTTCCCAATTTACTTGAGGCTGTGGTAAGGCATGTAGCTGTATATGTTATGTCACTGCATAAATATTTTGTGCACCCGGGTCTAATCATGGCTTGTGACGCAAAAAAAAAAAAAAAAAAACACACACACATCGTTTATGGAAAATATGGGCATGAAATGTGTGGTCGGTAAGTATTGGCTGAGCAGTGCTGGAGCGATATCAATGATAAGTGCAATTTTTTTTCATGATTAACATATGTAAGAGCTGTACAACAACAAAAAAAATCAATACAAGATTCTTAGGGGAAAAAAATCCGCGATCTAGCTAACGCATTTTTTTCACCTACATATACTTTAGAGTGGGTTATTGTGAAATTTGTCACAATATAACAAATTCCTTTTGGTCTATTAATTTTGTATAATTATTTTAATATATATAATTATATTTTTGTATATTTGTACCGCATATATGTATATAATAAAGTAAAAACTTTAATTGTTGAAGAAACTTGTAGCTAATGCCGTATAAACTAGGTTGGACTGTTATGAATAAACTTGCAGATTGCGCAGCCAAACAAATAACGAGAATGTTTAATACTGAATTACAGAATAACGATACAATAAGAATGACATGACTAGATACGGGTCAAGCTAGCTAGTCCGGGAGGTCGGGCGAAGATGGCTCAGTGATGGTTGTGATTGGTGCGGAGGCGACTCGGGGGTGGTTCGGTGCGACGAAATAGGCCGAACAGGTTCGTCGCGTGACCCTCAGGATGTGCTCCTAACAACTAACTACAGTAAGGATCTACAATTTCTTACATTGACCGACCTTAGCCCGCACAAAGTTGGCAATATAGCCGGTTTTAAGTCTAGAATGTTATGAAATTGTTGCTCAATACGACACTCCATCCTAGTTATCCAAATTTTGCAATGCTTGCACAAACCGTATTCTCCCGGACATAACAACCTAGCGTAGATTTAAATATACAGGGAAAAAAGGGGGGTGTCTTCTCATAGGAAAAAGCCGCATAATACCCGGGTCATATTATATAGCTTTTTTTCTAAGCACAAAGGAAAGGAAACAAAATCAGTATTTTGTCCTCATTCTTAGTTTGTTGAACGGGGGCGCAAAACCGAGTCCTCGAGGATAACGTCACCCCCCACTGGAATCTGCCACATGGCAAATTCCAGTCAGTAGGCCAACTGAGGCAGCTTCGATTACAGCAATGCCAACGTCGCGCAGCTTGGGTTCATGCACAGTAATGCTATGTATGGCCCGAGTCGCGCACGGTGCTGAGAGGTCACTGTACCTGTGACCTCTTGCCATCCGTTTGGGGTACTCTATAGCGAGTACAACCCGAATTAGGGTTTCCTATATGTACTCAACTGCTTGCTAGTGAAATTCTGTCAGAATCACTAGGCAAGAATGGTTGAACTAGCAGAAGTTTGGGTACAAATATGAAACCCTAGTTGGGGTTGTACCCCATATTGGCTACCCCACTACAGCCTACAAGCATAATACAGTTTAACACACCCCCATAGGCAAAGTGGGGGAGAACAAAGGGTCACAAGACCAGTCCAGCAAAGCAAAGCAAAGCCCAGGGTGGATCACAACGTCACCACACTCCGAGCACAAGTAAAGGCCACAAGGCCAGTTCACATGCAGTGCTAGATATAGTACAAGACAAGCAACACAGTGATCAAAACCTAGCAAGCAAGCAACAAGATATATATAAAGTACAGTACAAAGAATGTCAAGCAGTGAGCAAGTGAGGAAACGTGGACACAAGGCCTAAAGAAGTACAGTGCCGCTGATGATCACTAGGCGGGAGCGCCTTGGTGAAGATATCAGCAGTGTTGGCCTTCGAGTCCACGTACACAAGTCGAAGCTGACCGCGCTGCTGAAGCTCTCGAGCAAGAAAGTAGCGAAGAGCAATGTGCTTCGTCCTGTGCTCCAGTCTGTGCTCCTGACACAAGGCAAGAGCCGCCTTGTTGTCACCGTACAGAACTGGCGGAGAACTAGGCCGCTCTCCCAAGTCAGTCAGCAGGTAGGTGAGCCAGCGTAACTCCTGTGCAGCCATGGCTGTGGCGTAGATCTCAGCCTCACAACTAGAGCCGAGAACAGAGGAAGAGCGGGTGGACCGCCACGAGACAGAACCAGAGCCAAGGCTGAAGGTGTAACCCTGTGACGACCGCTGCGTAGCCAGGTCGTCCACCCAAGAGGCGTCCGAGTGACCAGTGAGGACAACTCTGTCGCGTCCTCCAAGCACCAGCCCCATGCCTGATGTACTGCACAGGTACCGCAGCACCCTCTTAGCAGCCTCCCAGTGCTCTCGCCTGTGTCTCCCAGGCGCAACGTAACGAGCAAGGATACTAAGAGGGTACGCAAGGTCAGGTCGCGTGCAAGTCATCAGGTACATGAGGCAGCCTACAAGCTCTGGGTACGGGCCACTCGGCTCTACGGACTCGTCCGAAGGTGGAGCTGAGAGTGAGTGGCTGGTAGCCAGAGGTGTGGCCTGTGGTGAGGAGAACTGGAAGCCGAAGCGCTGAAGGACCTGCTGCACCATGTGTGACTGAGTCAGGGTGATGGTGCGACGGGCTCTGTCCCGGGTGATCTGCAAGCCAAGGTAGCTACGCAGTTCACCCAGGTCAGTGCAGGTGTGTCTCTTCTGCAGCTCCGACTTCACACGAGCGAGTGCCTCAGTGTCAGCAGTAGCAAAGACCAAGTCGTCGACGTACACGAGGATGTAGAACGGCGGCAGCGACGTGTCAGTGCGCAGAAACAGCGACGGGTCAGCAGTAGACGGCGCAAACCCAAGAGCCGCAAGAGTAGTCCTCAGTGTGTCGTGCCACTCACGTGGCGCCTGGCGGAGACCGTAGACTGGCCGGCGGAGACTCCACTGGGTACCAGGGGGAAACGACCCAGTAAAGCCAGGTGGGCGGCGCAGCCAGATCTCCTCGTGCAGGCTGCCCTGCAGGAACGCTGTGCTGAAGTCAAGAGAGTGAAGCTCGTAGTCACGCTGAGCAGCAACGTGCAGCAAAACCCGAAGAGTGGTCATCTTCGGGGTGGGGGAGAAGGTCTGGAAGAAGTCGACCCCCTGACGCTGACTGAAGCCTCGAGCCACGTAACGCGCCTTGAAGACAGGCGGAGAACCCGGCGGCCGCTTCACCCTGAAAATCCACATGCCATCGACGATGTTCGCCCCAGGAGGGGGAACCTCGTCGACGTAGGTGCCTGTGGACTTCCAGGATGCCATCTCTGCGTCCATGGCTGTCTGCCACTGAGAGGAGTAGGGACCCGAGATCGCCTCTGCGTAAGTGCGCGGAGTGGGGATGTCTAGTGCATCCGGGTCTCCCTCAGGGGCAAGCAACCAGGCCACGAGATGAGGTACAGCAGCCGCAAGAGAGTCAAAGTCCTCCTGCCTGTCCTCAAGGACGTCCGTGCCAAGAGCACACTCACCCCCGACGGACG